CGGGGCGGTGAGTGGGAAAACCCGGAGCAGGGAGAGTACCCGCGGATCCGGACGGAACTCTCGTTTCCTCCGTATCTTCTTGAATATTTCCGTCAGCTCGTCCTTCAGCTCCTCTGCTGAGCTGGCCCCATTGACTGCCTGGGGGACGGCCAGCCCCACTTCTTCGCCTGCGCTTTCCACGGGGACGTGGCCTGGCATGGGGGCGTCGACTGTGGGGTCATCGGCATGCTCGATGAGCCACTCCATGGCCTGAGTCACAGACATGCTGCAGGACGAAGGACACACGTCAAGACGCAGAACATCGAATCATAGATAACATAGGATATAATGAATGACAATAATAATATGCACCAGAGACCAATTCCTTGTGTGTCCAATCACATTTGGCAATAAAGAATTCTATTCTTATTCCTATTCTATTCTTATTTCTATTTTATTCCTATTCACACACATGCACACACCCCTGGTGCTACCTACTGGCTGAGGCGAAGGGCTTTGATGGCTCTGCTCTCAGGGAAGCCCATTTCGGTCAGCTGGCGCAGAGCGATTTCGTCCACTCGGTCATCCTCGTCCTCATCCAACATGGCTGGAGGAAGAAAAAGGGCTGGGTAAGGAAGGAGAAGGACCAGCTGGGATCTCTAGGCTATTCTCTATAAGCAGTCCTTCACTTATGACCCCTTCTTCAGCCCCGCTTTCAGGTAGCTAAAAACCATTCACTTAATGACCATTTGAAGTTACAGGTAGTCCTAGACTTGTAACAGTTCTTTCAAAGTTAAAATGGCACTGAAAATTTCCAAAAAAGGTCTGCAGGAAAATTCCCCACCCCATTTTCCTACCGATCGATCATTCTTTATTTGGTTTTGCAGGATACCGTCTCCAGCTCCATTCTCGGGGGAGAGAGAGAGACTTTTGGCTTCATGCAAGAAAAGCAGCAGAAGTCTTTCTTTCTCTCCCCCAAACTCTGCCAGAAATGAGTCTTTGCCAGCACAGCCTCTTGGAGCAGGAGGCCTTGCAGGGTCCCAAAGACTCATTTCTGGCGGAGTTTGGGGGAGAGAAGGACAGACTTTTGCTGCTTCCCTTGGGTGCAGCCAAAAGCAGAAGAAGAAAGAGGCGGAAAGAAGCAGCCCGGTGGCCAGACCAGGCACATGGGGTGAGCGGGACAAGTTCACCCCTCCGTCCTTTCCCCCCTTCTCTTTCTACCTCGTGTTGTTCGCAATGCAAGCGACACAAGCCTTGTGTTCCCGCAGGCCATGTGGGCGGCGCAGCCTTGTGTTCCTGCACAGCCTAGACTAATTGCTTTGGGGTGACATTTCTCTGTGGACCACCAAAATTTCCTCCTGGACCACCAGTGGTCTCCAGTCCACTGGCTGGCGACCACCGCGTTAAACCATCAGAAACCAATACATATTTTCCCCGCACCATTTGCCTTCTTGAAGAGTTCGACAGCATTTGGATTCAGTGCTAACAGCTTCTGGGCCACTTCGATGAGTGAGACCAAGATTTTCCGAAGCTCCGTCTGAAACTAGAAGGAAGAAGAAAATTAACGACCCTGAAAAAACTCCCTCCAAAACGCCTCTTTTTCTTTTCTTCACCATTAGCACTTTTGACTTTGGACGGAAGAATCCATTTCAATTTAATTGATTTTTTTTAAAAGCACAGTAACCTCCACTTTTTTTAAAAAAAATTGCCCTTTGAGAATCTCAAAAACCATGATTTGCCTTTTAAAACCAGCTCTGGGCCTCTTTTTATTCTTCCGCCGTGGATACATTCCTAAAAGTTGCCTCTTTTGGGGCTGCCTTGACATTCACAGCTCCCGCTTTGAAGATTGTCGGCGATGCTCAAGGTCCATTCTTCCCCCACCCCTCCCCCCAAAAATGCCTGCTGTATTTAAGAGCTCGATTAGAGTTGAGATGAAATTACCGCCTTGACCAACGACAAGGGCTATGGGGCAGATCTGCTCCCTAGATTCCAGATTGGGATTCACAGGGATTATCATCCCGCCCGAGGCTGCCAATTCTCTGTTAAGGAAGCGTCCAAATTGACAATACGGGTAATCCTCGACTTACAACCGCAATTGAGCAGCAAGCGAGACAATTTGTTACGCCCCTGGTGGAGTCTGACTCTGAGGGAGAGGAGGAACAGCCGACAGGGAGTGGAAGTGTGGGTATGGAGGTTGTGGAGGAGGCTGGGCAAGGGCAGAGGCTGGCTGGGCAGTCAGAGGAAGACCCAGGCCCGTCCCCTTTCCATCCTAGGGCATGCAGGGAGGAGAGGATAAGGAAGAGATGTGAATGGCGGCGTGGTCTATGGGGGAGGAAAGGGCCTTGATCCCCTTCATGGGCTGCAGCTGTGAGAACTGGTTAAAAGGACAGACATGCGTATGGGCCAGTGCCGGAAACAAAGCGTGAAAATATCTGTAGCCTGTCCATTCCTATCTGAGTTTGGCATCCTTCCCAGTGTGTATTCCAATATCTGTGGACATCTTCAAGCCCGTATCTTGCCTGGTTCCCTTCATTGCTTCAGTGTGGTTTGTGTTGTTTTTACTCTGTACAATTTATAGGCATTTTTAGTTCAAAAACGGCATGTCCTCCTTTTTGTAACTGTTCACGGGGGAGTTTTTTTGTCTCCCAGTCAAAGATATTTGGAGCTTTGAAGCCAAGTTGAAGGAATAAAAGGGGATTCACCTGTTTTTGGGACTGTATTTTATATCCCACCCTGGGTCATCACACAGTTGTTGAGTGAGCTTTGCTCCTTTCACACGCTTTTGTGCCACAGTTCAATGCGTTCCAAAGGACTTTTTTTGCTGGGGGGGGGGGGGGGGGGGGGGAACCCCCCCAAACATAAATTGTGTTATGTAACCAGCTGTAAAGTCAAGCTATTTCCAAGTGCCTGAAAAAAGGTCACAAACTCTGTGTGTGTGTATGTGTGTTGATGTCATCACAATGGGGACATAAGTAGCTTTTTTTTGGAAGAAGGGGAGGTCTTTCGTAACTTTCAACGATTGCTAAGTAACCAAAGAACAGGACTGCGGTTTCCTCCCCCTCCCCTCCCTGGGGCTATTATGGGATGCCCAGGTGTTGGGCCTGGAGAGAAGTGGGCCAAGGGGCAGCCCCCAGGAGAAGCCAAGGACTCACGTCTCTCATGTTGTGATGGGCCACGCTCCGATCCACGCTGTGGGAGGGGAGGTTGGTGGTGGCTTTCAGGATCGCCTCTTTGTCGGGCGCCTTCTGTTCCTGCTTCCGCTACACGGGAAAGGAATCCGTGTTCAGACAACGTCGCCCCTTGCCTCCAAACATCCACTCTGTGGTTGCCGGCAGCTACCCCAAAGGACAACTAAGCTTATTTTTAAGATGGGAGGCCTGTCTTTTATCTGTTTATATCTCCTGCCTTTATTATGTTTGAAATAATTCAAGGTGGCAAAGATATCTAACATACCTTCCTCCTCCCGTTATTTCCACAACAACCACCCTGTGAGGTGGGTTGGGCTGAGAGACCAGGACTGGCCCGAAGACACCCAGCCAGCTTTCACAGCTAAGGTGGGACTAGAACTTCCAGCCCCCTGGTGATGGGCCCGAAGTCACCCAGCCGGCTTCCATGGCCAAAGCTCACTTTGGCCTCACATGGTAAAAGAGTCCAAGCAGGCCGGTGGTGTGAACCAAGGATGAAAGGAGGGACCAGATGCTAAAGTGCAGCTGTGAAGACTGAAAGTCTTTCCACATCTGGGGCCTTGGGACTCACCTTTTCCTCGGCAGAGACCTCGGCCATTTTGGGAGGTGCTGGTGGGGCCCTTTTCTTCACGAGGACCAAAACATCTGAGGAGACAAGAAGAAAATAAGTGGAATGAGATGTCGCGGCTGGCTTAATTTCCTGCTTTGACAGGATGAAAAAAGTTGGAGGGAGGGAAAAAAAGAATGTCTTGCCCAGTGCAAAAAGGATCAAGGAAGGGAGGGAGGAAGGAAGGAAAGGAGGGAGGGAGATTAAAAAAAAGTCAAGGATGGAAAGAGAGAGGAGAGGAGATGGGAGGAAGAATGAAATAAAGAAGAAAAAAAGGAAGAAAAAAGAAGGAAAGGAGGAAGGGAGGGAGGGGGGAGAGAGGAAGGAAGGAAGGAAGGAAGGAAGGAAGGAAGGAAGGAAGGAAGGAAAAGGAAAAAAAGAGGAGGAAGGACAGAAGGAAGATGGAGCCAGTAAATACCAAGGGAAGTATCTATGGTCACTCTGAGGCAGAAGGACAGCTCCTATCAGGGTAAGAGATGGCCAAATGACCAGCGTCCCTTTGCCACAAGGGTTCAAGCAGAGGCTTGGATAGCCATCTGCTGGGAATCCCATAGTGGTGGATTCCTGCAGTGGAAAGCAGGTTGGACTGGATGATCTCCAAAGTA